GGGCGGGGGGCACATGCAGCAGAGCTTGTCTGGATGGTGTAGTGCATGCTGCCCCTGTGGCACTCTGCATGGGGCTGAGCCCTGCCCACTCACACTGGGGTAGCCTGTGCCATACCCCCACTAGTGCCTCCAGCTTAGCCCAGCCAGGTGCTGTTCCGCTCTCCCTGCCTCCAGCGATGGCTCCTGCCTCTGCCATGCCATACCACACTGTGCTGAGCAGCTTCTTGCAGGGCTGTTCCTAGTGCAACTGCAGCTGGCTAGGTGCTGCTCTGCTCCCCCCACCTCCAGTGGTGCTCCCCCTATCTCCCATGCCACGCCATGCCATGCCACTCCCAGCAGGTGGGCAGGTAGCCAACTTCAGCTGTGTGTCTCCTGCCCCAGTGCATGGGGCTCTGGCTTCAATTACCAGCTGCCTTAAGACGGGAAGTGGCCGGGAGCTGGAGCCAGATCCTCATGTGCTGTGGCAGGAGCTGCCTGGCTAAAGCTGCTCATCCACAGTGGCATGGCATGGTGCATCGCAGCATGGTAGGGGCAAGATCAGGAGCAGGAGCCACCACTGGAGTCAGGGGGAGCAGAGCAGCACCTGGGTGCAGCTGTACTGGGACCAGCCCTGCCAGAAGCTGCGCACGCTGGTCAGGGCTGGACCATTGGCACCAGCAGCAGGCTGCCCTGGTGTGAGTGGTTGGGGCTTGACCCCCTGCAGAGCACCCCAGGGGCAGCTGCAGGCTGTATTTGCCCACCCCTGGTTTAAGGCATGATTAACCTGTTATTCGCATATTAAATGTAACATGTCAGAAGTCTAAGGGCCAGATCCTTAAAATTTATTTAGGCACCTAACTAGGAGTTAGATACCTAAATACCTTTCTGGACATGCGCCTAAGTGCCTCCAGGAGATGAAGTGAGTAGGAGGAGCAGTTCCAGATCACAGGCCCTTGTTCTCAGGAGGGACTTCAATCACCCTGATTTCTGCTGGGAGAGCAGTACAACAGTGCACAGGCAATCCAGGAAGTTTTTGGAGAGCGTTGGAGACAACTTCCTGGTACAAGTGTTGGAGAGGCCAACTGAGGGCAGTGCTCTTTTTGATCTACTGCTCACAAACAGGGAAGAATTGGTGGAGAGCAACAGAGTATGGACCCTGGACTTCAGAAAAGTAGACTTTGGCTCCTCAGGGAACTGATAGGGCGGATCCCCTGGGAGGCAAGTCTGAGGGGAAAAGGAGCCCAGAAAAGTTGGTTGTATTTTAAAGAAACCTTACTGAGGGTGCAGGAACAAACCATCCTGATGTGCAGGAAGAATAGCAAATGTGGCAGGGGACCCGCTTGGCTTAGCAGAGGAGTCTTCAGTGAGTTTAAACACAAAAAGGAAGCTTACAAGAAGTGGAAGCTTGGACAAACAACTTGGGAGGAGTATAAGAATATTGCTCAGGCATGCAGGGATGAATTCAGGAAAGCCAAAGCATAATTGGGGTTGGAGCTAGCAAGTGACATGAAGGGTAAAAGGAAGGGTTTCTAAAAGTATGTTAGCAACAAGAGGAAAGTCAGGAAAAGTGTGGGTCCCTTACTGAATGAGGGAGGCAACCTAGTGACACATGATGAGGAAAAGGTTGAAGTGCTCAAAGCCTTTTTTACCTCCATCTTACCTCAGCTTGCTGCCTACTGCACCGGGCAGTGCAGTTTGGGGAGGTCAGCCTGGTGAAAGAACAGGTTAGGGGCTATTTAGAAAATCTGGACATATACAAGTCCATGGGGCCAGATGCAATGCATCTAAGGGTACTGAGGGAGTTGGCTGATGTGATTGAAGAGCCACTAGCCATTATCTTTCAAAACTCGTGGTGATCAGAGGAGATCCTGGATGATTGGAAAAGGGCAAATATAGTGCCCATCTTTAAGAAAGCGAAGGAGGATCCGAGGAACTACAGACCAGTCAGCTTCACTTCAGTCCCCAGAAAAATCATGGACCTGGTCCTCAAAGGATACATTTCTAAGCACTTGGAGGAGAAGGTGGTTAGGAACAGTCAACATGGGTTTGCCAAGGGCATGTTATGCCTGACCAGCCTGATTGCCTTCTATGATGAGATGACTGGCTCTGTGGATGCAGGGAGACCAGTGGATGTGGTATACCTTGACTTTAGCAAGGCTTTTGATACTGTCTCCCATAGCAATGCTGCAAGCAAGCTGAGGAAGTATGGGCTGGATGAATGGGCTGTAAGGTGGATAGAAAACTGTCTGGATTGTTGGGCTCATTGGGTAGCAACCAATGGCTTCATGTCTAGCTAGCAGCTGATCTCAAGTAGAGTGCTCCAGTGGTTGGTCCTGGGACCAGTTTTGTTTAATATCTTCATTAATGATCTGGAAGATAGGATGGATTGTACCCTAAGCAAGTTCATGGATGACATTAAGCAAGGGGGAGTAGTAGATGCACTGGAGGGTAGGGCTAGGATTCAGAGTGACCTAGGCAAATTGGCGGATTGGGACAAAAGAAATCTCATGAGGTTCAACAACGACAAGTGCAGAGTCCTGCACTTAGGATGGAAGAATCCCATGCATCACTTAAGGCTTGGGATCAACTGGCTCAGCAGCAGCTCTGCAGAAAAGGACCTGGGGGTTACAGTGGACAGGAAGCTGAATTTGAGTCAGTATAGTGCCCTTGTTGCCAAGAAGGCTAACAGCATACTGGACTGCATTAGTAGGATTATTGTCAGCAGATCAAAGGAAGTAATTATTTGTCTCTATTCTGCACTGGTGAGGCCACATCTGGAGTACTGTGTCCAGTTTTGGGCCCCCCACTATAGAATGGATATGGACAAGTTGGAGAGAGTACAGCGGAGAGCAATGAAAATGGTTTGGGGGCTGGGGCACATGACTCATAAGAAGAGGCTGAGGGAAGGGTTTATTTAGTTTGGAGAAGGGAAGACTGAGGGGGGATTTGATAGCAGCCTTTAACTGCCTGAAGGGGGGTGTTCCAAAGAGGATGGAGCTGGACTGTTCTCAGGGGTGACAGATGACAGAACAATGAGCAATGGTCTCAAGTTGCAGCAAGAGAGGTTTAGGTTGGATATTAGGAAAAACTTTCTCACTAGGAGAGGGTGGTGGAGCACTGGAACAAATTACCTAGAGAGGCGGTGGAATCTCCATCCTTGGAGGATTTTAAAGCCCGGCTTGACAAAGCTCTGGCTGGAATGATCTATTTGGGGATGATCCTGCTTTGATAAGGGGGTTGGACTAAATGACCTCCTGAGGTTCCTTTCAACCCTAATTTTCTGTGATTCTGAGAGTCTGTACCAGTACAGTCTGACATTCTGCTTTGTGCCCTCCTGCACATGAGAGGATTTGTCACCATTCAGGCAGGTGTATATACCCTGCTGTGAGTTGGGGCACAGGGCACAAGAAGGTTAGATATCAAATTTGAAGCATTTTGCAACATACCACGTACTGGCATTTTGGTGGGTCTGAAAATTCTCCTTAGGCCCCTGACATGTTACATTTAAGATGCAATTAACAGGTTAATCACATTTTAAATAGTAACCTGCATATGTACAAGTAAATTTAAGATTTGATAATAGAGTAAACTGCTGCTGCTATAAGAGGACTATCTCTAATCGCAGTAACTCTTCATGCTAAAGTCTTTGTTTTTTTACTTGCTAGTACATTCAGCTAATAGAACTCCTGGAAGAGAACCTGGGGTAGTCAGAGATAGAGGAGTCCAGGTTATAAGCATGATATATCTGATGAACCCAAACTCCACCTACTACTTGGTCCTCAGACTGCAGGGATTTTCTGGCCTGGTATCATAATGAGATTATGTTGATATAAGAACTTTGAACCAAAGTTTTGCTTACTCCATATACCTTAATGTATTTTGAAGGGGACCGTGGGTCTGGCAAAAATCACTCCAGGCTCACATTGATCAGAAAGTCATATAGAATAATTGCAAATATCACAAACCTCCAATGCACCTGTGGTCTATGGTCAGAGCGTTATCATTGATTCTGTTCATAACCTCCAAAGTAGATGGTGTTTTGTCTTTACAGATGGTCTCACATTGATCTCAACAATACTGAAGCAGCAACTCTAGCCAATGCTCTTCTATCTCTTCCAGAGCTGAAGAAGTTTGAGTATGTAATTATATAAAAAAATTATTTTACTGCTGAATGTACATTCTTACAATCTCCTCCTTCACAAGATGCAGCTTGTTGCAGTTCCCTACCTTATTCTCTTGTAAAATTCTCGTATTCTGAATATTTCTCTCAAGTCTGTTGAGAAGACCAAATCAAACATGGTGTTTCCATGATCTGCCTGAAATTTTGGTTTCTGGGAACAGCATGTGCCATAGGTTTTTTTCTGAAAATAAAAACAAAAAACAGACCTGAAGCAGGATTAGGACTCCAGACCTAGACCTTAACTTTATAATGGATCAAACCAAAAGCCCAGATGCTGGGAAAAGTGGACTCCAGATGCATCTGCAGTCCCATATACCACACAGCCACACTCGTCTGGACGTGGCCTATGGGTACTTACAGATGTGGAAAAAAACCCCACTGCTTTACTTTCAGTTCAGCCTGCCCTCACACCCAGCACAACACATGACCAGAAGAGGAATCATGTCAGTTTGACCCAGGTCGCCCAGCATCTGTATAGCTCATGTGCTTCAATGGGGTTTTTTAGTGCTTTTATTTAATAGCTGATTCAATCAACAATTTGATAAAAGCACCAAAAGCCCTGCTGAAGTATGTGAGGTATACAGATGTTGGGGATTTGAGTCAAAATGACGCAGTTCCTCTTCTGGTAAAGCACTGGGTTTTTTCCCCACATCTGTCAGCACCCTTTGACTCTAGTCATGTTGAATGAAGGGTCTAGTGTGATGTAGGAATCTTTGACCCTCATTTTAAAGTCCATCTAAATTATCAGAGTGTTGCAGAGTAGCCTTAGTGTGGATGAGAGACAGGACTAGAGCCTCTGTCTTTCTATAGGGAAATACTGTGGACATTGTTCCTGTTAATGTTTGGATGCCTCTCTGAAATCTCACAAGAACTGGCTCTATTGCAGCATTTTGACTCTTCAGGATTTAACTCTGCCCAGAACCTGGACTTGAATTTGGGGCAAAGCTTCAAGGGACCAGGGGAATCCTTTATGCAAATTCTTAGAAAGTTAACATAGGCAGAAATAACTGCAGAGCTCTACTGTATGAGCATAAGCCCCAAATCCCAGGTCCACTCACACCAACAGTCCTTTGATGCTTTTACAAAGGTACAACTATCTGCTCTTGTTCTATGACTAAATCCTGTGACATTTAATTAAATTATGTCTCCTGGAGACAGGAGACGTGGCAGACGTTGTACATCTAGACTTCCAAAAGACTTTTGATCTAGTATCCCACGATATCCTTGTGGGAAAACTGGAAGATTGCAGGCTCGACTGCTCGACAGTTTAGTGGGTGGAAAACAGGCTACACGGTAGGACCCAGAGAGTTCTCATGAATGGGTCTGTGTCATCCTGATGCAAAGTAGCCAGTGATGTCCCTCAGGGATCCGTGCTTGGACCAGTGCTTTTCAACATCTTTATCAGTGATTTGGATGGAGGAGTGAAAAGCTCACTGGCCAAGTTTGTGGATGACACCCAAGTTATGGGGCAGTGTGGTCATGCCAGATGTTAGGTTGCAGATACAGGTGGACCTGGGCAGGCTGGAGAGTTGGGCAGACTGGAACCAGGTGAAGTTTAACACTTCCAAGTGTAAGGTGCTCCATCTGGGGGCAAACAACCCTCAACATACAAACAGGCTCGATGACCACAGCTTGACTTGCACCATGGCCGAAAGGGACCTAGGGGTAATAATCAACCATTGTATGGATATGAGCCGTTAGTGTGAGGCAGTGGTCAGCAGGGCAAACAACACACTGGCATGCATCAACCGACGCATCTCGTGTAAAACTAAGGAAGTGATGCTCCCGCTGTACTCAGCACTAGTGAGACCGCAGTTGAAGTACTGCGTCTAGTTCTGGGCACCACAATAAGGACATGGAAAAACTTGAGAGGGTCCAGAAATAGCCACCCATACGATCAGGGCCTTGCAAGGCAAGCCATACGAGAAAAGGCTGAGGGACCTGGGCCTCTTTAGCTTGAAGAGAAGGTTGAGAGGGGACTTGATAATGGCTTACCGCTATATCACAGGAGTGCATCAGAAGCTCGGTGAACAACTGTTCACTAGGGCACCCTGGGGAAGACCAGGAGCAATGGATACAAACTCTTGGAAGGCTGCTTCAGGCTTAATACCAGGAAAAACTCCTTCACAGTCAGGGTGTCCAGACTGTGGAATAAACTCCCTGCAAAGGTGGTGCAGTCACCTATCCTGGAGGTTTTCAAGTGGAGACTAGACAGTCACCTCACTGGGGTCACCTAACTCCAGTTGTCTTCCTGCCTAGAGCAGGAGGGCTGGACCTGATGATCTGCAAGGTCCCTTCCAGCCTCTAACAGTCTATGAATCTATGTTGATTTCAATTTTCTCCTGTAGTTTCATTTGGAATGAAGCTGTTTGTTTTAGGTGTTTTAATATGTTGTTAGAAATTGGGGTTAGTCACTTCCTATCCTAAACAGTCATCTGATATGCTGCTAAAAAGCTTTCATTTTTTACCCTGGAAGTGACTGCACATCTGTGGTGGGCAAAGGGATTCCTGTCACTCCTGTCCTAGTGAACTATTTTGCTCTAATTCAGTGCTATGCTTATTTTTCAGGCTGACATCAAGTACCATTGTGCCCATTGGAATAAGGCAGCTGGCTGCAGGGCTGCAACAGTGTCATGGCCTTGAAGAGCTGAAGTAAGTTAACTCTAATCTGTGAGGCCACTGTATGCTTTATTATTAAACTATAGCTACCTTCCAGCTTGTGGCCTGGATGGGTGTAACTTCACTGATGGCTAGTAAACATCAGCTGGGGAAGATGTTTGAATGTCTTCAGGTTTGCAACGTGGGATGGGCATAAAAGCAGGGGTGGGACAGAAGGCTGTAGACAGCTCAAGTGCTTTGGTATCCTCAGGGATTTTGGTTGTAGCTGTCCTTGGTATCCTCAGTACCTCTGAAGTACATGTACACCCATGTCCTGATTCAGAAAGGTGGTAATTTCAGGAATGACACTGGTCATGTTAGAAAGTGCACTGGAAGGCAACATCTGCTAGTGACAGTTAGTGGTATTTACAGAAGCACTTCTGCAGGTAAAGTTATGCTAACACAACACAGCTCTGACCTTGGTCTGCCACCACCTGGGCCAAAGTCTAGCACTAGCCTAAGACATCCCTAGCATGGGTGTTACCACCTGAAGAGCATACAGGAAGTTATCATTTATATCTCTGTAGAAACATCCATCATATTGGTATCCTTCTTTTGCTAGGAGCTCTGTAAATCTATGTTAAACACCATTCTTGTTCTAAAGAGACTTCAGTTTGAAAAGGTTCAGGGTTGGTAGTGTCTGAAGCCATTTGGTTTAATGCAGTGGTTGTCAAAATTCCTAAAGTCACAGAACTCTTTCAAATCCCTTCCTCTACTGCAGAAGCCCTACCCCTATTATAAAGTCTGATGTGGAGCCAGGTGATCTGGCCCCACATTGGAGTCACACTGCCTTCTGGCCTGCTCAGTCATTACTCCCAATCTCTTTGAGGAACCCGTGATGACCTGTCATGGAACCCTAGGGTTCCATGAAACACAGTTTGAAAACTGCTGCTTTAATGTTAGAAGTGATATTGAAAAAAAATCATTCAGATGTTTTTCAAGTTGGCTGTTTCCTCTTCCCCATCACATTTTCTACTGAGTTCCCTTCCTTCCCCTTTTTGTAACTCACTTTTGCATGTATTTATTTTTTCTACTTTTAATATCTAGATTTTGTGACATCCCCTAACAATTGTAAAGCATTGGCCTGCTATTTTAATAGAAGCTGTTCTAAAAGGCATAGGAAGTCTCTCTGAACATTTAATGCTTTTATTTTATCACATATACAGATAATCCATGCAAGTAATGAACCATATTTGTAACTGGTATTTGTTGATTTCGGGAGCTCCCCTTTTGTCTGGTCAATATTTTGGGAACCACATATACTAAAATTTGCTTGACCCTGCTATAAGGCTTTCCTCCAAAACTGGTTATTCCTAAAAGGAAAAGTTTCATTTTGGAAGTGAACCCTCTCAACATTATGTCTATATTTTCCAGTGAAAAGTGATAATAAAACAAATGCATGAAATAATATGTTGTTACAGAGGAATCAACAAACTGATTTTTCTCATTAAAAGTTCCACTGTGGACATTTTAAAAAACAAAGGAATTTTGCACTGAGGAAAAAAAATGATTTCATGATGTTTTTGTTTTGGAAAAAAATGATAATGTATGATTATATTTGACGAATTCCAGCCAGATCTATTACTAGTGAACTTATAGGTCTCTGCCCCTTTTAGCTTGCAGACTTAGAGAAGGAAGACTTCTTTTCTTCACATCTCTCTTGGGGACAGTTTTACCTGAAAGGGAAAAAAGAGCTTGTTTTTTTCTTAAACATATCTATACATGAATCATACACTTTTGGTTTTATTCTGTTTCTGTTGAAGTTGGTGGCAAAACTCTCATGACTTCAGTGGACTATAATCAAGCCCTTTTTGTTTTTCAGTCTTAGAAATGAGGATTTTTCATTACAGCCTTCTATACTGTATAGGACATAACTACAAAACATTAATACGGCTGTTATGATGATTCCCTTGCCTAATCAACTAACCTCATGACAGTTTTCATGCAGACCACTGAGATCTTTCAGCCCCCCTCTGCTTTGACAGCTCCTTGATTACCGAGAGGGTTGCTGTTCCTGAATTAGCCAGTTAAATCTGTGAACATTCATTCCTGTGTCCCTTTGCTTCCTAGTCTGGGCTTCCTGAAACTTGATGACATAGCCATTCAGATGCTGGTGCCTAGCATTTGCAAAATGCCTTCACTGAAAAGACTTATGTAAGTATGCCTGTCCCAAGCATTCCTATACTACAGTGTTCTTGGGGCCATATGAATTCCTAGTGAGAGAAGGAACATTTGCAGTTCTTTCCTTGAATTTTCCACTTAAGCCCAGTTTAGCTGCTCAGAATGGTCTGATATGTCAAATCGGGTAACCTTGCAAACATGTAGCCAAGAGCATAATTTCACTGGCAATGCCATCATAATTTTCAGTATGGAAGCATGAAGCATTACAGTTGTTACAAACCACCACTGAGTTGAGCATTTCCCTGATAAGTGCACTGTTGGTTGCCTATCAAGAGCATTTGCAGCTTTTTCACAGGCTGACAATAGGTTTTATTTTCTAATAAGCATCGTGCATAAAATGTTTTATTTTTTCTTTTATAATCTGATCGGTATGGGTACTCCCAAAGCCAATGAGATACAGTTCCGAAGGCTTACATGGGACTTTGGTTTTATAGTTTTTGCACTGTGTAGTGAATGTCATCCTCTCTCCATAAAGTTACGTTACTGAATACATGGTATTTTTGGAATATTCTTTCCAGCTTGAACAATAACAGTATTGGTAATGAAGGTTGCATCCATCTTGCAGAAGCCCTGAAGGATACTTATCGCCTGGAAGAAATCAAGTGGGTTCCTTTCTTGAAATCTGTCTGCCAAAAAGGGTGGGTGGCAGTTATGCATCAGGCACAGAAGTGGGTATATATCCATGAGTTCTTAAGTGCCAGTATAGGAAATAAACAAGTTTTATAAAGACTACAAAATAGTTAACTGTCAGAATTACATACATGGGGAGCAAATCAAGATTTTAGCTCCAAAATATGAAGTAGCTGAAGACTGATTCCAGTTAAACAGCTGCTGCCTGCTTAAGAAGCCTGCAGATTAAAATGCTCTTTGGCAAAATCTGGATCAAGAACTAAGTACTGTATCTGGCTTTCCTTTATCAAGGACTAGACTTAAATCCTGTACCCCAGTACCAACACTTACAAGCTCTGGAAATGCTTGATTTTGTTTCTAGTCTCAGCATATCTCTGTTTTGACTGTTTTCTTCATTGCAACCCAGTCTTCTCTCTCCTCTAATACAGGACAAGGTACAGAATGTCTTTTCTCAAAAGAAGTGAATGTATTACTATACCATTTAATGGGACCAGCTAATTAGATATGTGATAGTTTAATATCTCATAAAGTAGTTTGAACTCTTCCTCAGAACGTTAAAAAAAAACTTTTTCTTTGACTTTCAAAGTACCTTCTTCTGTGAATACTGGAGCAGCTTTAATTCCATCCAGTGGATGGGATCTGTTAAATAAAATGCTGTAGTCAGGATGGAGCTCAGCGTTCTCTTTAATAATATGGCATGTTTTTCCCTTTAAAGTTTAAGCCTTAACAAATTTGAAGATGTTGGCCTGGTAAAAATAGCCACAACCCTGCTGGAAATGCAAAATCTAAAGAAAATCAAGTGAGTCACTTTCTTTTGTTTCGAGCAACAGAACTAGTTAGTGCTAAGACTGCAGGAGATGTTCATGTCTGATTTTTATATTGCCTGTTTCTATATAATGTAAACTTTTATTCTGTCTTTAAGTGCTTGATAGGTAAGCCATAAATGTTAAAAGAAAGACACCCTTACCATTGAATTAATCTGGCTTTGAATCAGACCCTTTGAGAGTGAAAGTTGCTGTGTATTTGTGATATAATCTCAGAACACTTATTTGCAGGCAGATGTCTGCAGCACAAAAAACTGTACTGCCTGGCACAAGCTGGCATCAGCAGAGGCCAATGGTTGAACTTACCACAGACCGTGACTTACCCTTGCCTCTGGGCTGAGTAGAAGAGTCATGCACAATAACTGCTCTGTTTCTATGTGGAGGATTTCATTGTGTAGGACTTCACTACTTCATCATTTTCCTTTTACTAACAAATGTAGAGATAAAAATGAGATTATATTTCCTCTTTGTCTTGTTCAGACTCTGGTAATACTCAGCCCAAATTTCAAGCTGTATAGAAGAGACCTGCCATAGACTCCTTGGCTGGATCCAGATGTGCAGGCACATGTGGTTTGTGGCACTGCAAACCTCTCTGTAGCACCACAAACCACATGAGTTGCACATTAATCAGTGTGTGGCACCGCTAATGTGCAGCATTGAGGCAAGAGTTACTTCCGTGATTTCCAGATAGCAAAAAAAAAAAAAGAAACCCCTGGAAAAAAAGCAGCGCAAACCATGCCAAAGTTGTGGGCACTGGGACAAACACAGAGACAGAGGACTGTGCTGAAGCACCCTGTGCTCCCCAACTGCTCCCTGGCTAGCTGGAGTGCAGGGTGCCTCAAGACAGGGGAGCAGGCAGCCCTGGGCTGGCTGCTCCTCCATTTCAAGGCACGTTGTGCCCCAGCCAGCCAGGGAGCAGCTGGCTGGGGCACAGAATGCCTCAGCAGCAGGGCTCCGCAGTACATGGAGATGAGGGAGCAGGCAGCCCTGGGCTGCCTGCTTCCCCATCTCCATGTGCCTCTCCCTGGCTGGCCGGGGCACAGGGTGCCTCAGTGCAGGGGATAGCTAGTCCCCGTGGCACAAATTTGTGCCGTTACTCTTTGTGCTGCTGCAAAGGCACACTCCTGCTCATGTGGATATCGCCCTTGAGGTCACTGTTCCAGTCAGAGAAAAGCACTGGCTAGTATGTTGTATGATATGTGGGACTGCAGAAATAGGGGTCAGATTCCTGGAGGGATTTGCTTTAGTGTAACCTCAGGGAACTCAGCAGTGCAACCTGGGACTAGGCTGCTTGCTTAGGAATTGCAGAGCCTTAGCTTTGTAACACCAATTACTCAGTGCACTCAGTGAGATCTTTCTCCTTCTGCATCACTTATTGACTCAATTATCTATAGCTAGGTCTACATTATTTTGGCAGTTTTTTTGTAAGAAAACATTGACTTGTTGAAACCAAAACTCTTCCCAAGAGTGCATTCAGTTTTGCCTAATGTTTGCTCAAGGAGTGTTTCTTGGGTTTCCAATACCATCAAAGTCAGTAAGGGAGAAATCTTCACATTTCAAAATAGCTAATAGCTGGGTTGCTAGAGCACTCACGTGGGCTGTGGGAAACCTAATTCAAATAATTTCTGTTCTGAAGCAGAGACCTGAACCACCAAAAGATCCAAAGTCTCATTGTGAGGCAGGTAAATAGTATCTCTCTCAGCTCTAGGTAACAAATGGATGATACACAGTGCGTGCAGGGTCAGGAATACCAGGACAGTATCAAAAGCATTAGAAAGCCTTTCTTTTTCAAACTGTTTGTTGGAGAAATTGTATTTGGTTGAGGTTTGGACAGGCATCTCCACACTGGCAGCAGCGGCAGCTTATCATTGTAGTGCCCTGTGCTTCCTGTCATGCCAATTACCAGTGAAACAGCAATCAGCTAAAGCACCATCCATGCCATAGCTTATGTTTTTTCCTGTACATTCTGTCTCCTCTAGATGGAATAATTAATGAGATACTGCTTGTTTCCTTTCTTATTCTAGCTTCTCTGGGAACAGCATTGGTCCTGTTGGAGGGGAAAAGCTGATAGAGGCTCTGTCCCACTGCAAGCAGGTTGAAGAATTACTGTAAGTCTCATATGCCCTTTCAGGAACTTGGCAGAGGCATCAGGGTTATAGGAAGCAAACCTCATGCTGCCCCATTGAAGCCAGATTGAGTGTTACTGTCAACAACAATGGGAGCAAGAAAGAAACACTGTCTTTATCATTTGGTGCCCCGTTCTGAGGCTTCAGAGCTAGCATGTTGTCTGCAGTCATTGGTAGCTTTGTCTGCACTGTAAATACTGTGTTAGTGGAGGAGAACTCAGATCTGTGCTGTCTGCAGAATAATAGCTAGGTTTTCAGAAATGCAGGGTTTACAGTCCGTTTGCACATTCTCCTAATATCTATGCTACCTCAGAAATCAACTTTAAATCTCTGTTGTCGTTATATAAAAATGGAGTGAAGAGGCTGATTTGAGGTTTTATTTTAAGCAGAGGGTTACTGTTCAATTTAGTACCATTTATCTAATTTCCTATTAGTTTGCAAGGGGCAGTGTCCATACCCTACTGAATAATAAAACCTCAAAAGCAGAATGGATGAAATTATTTCTGTTGCACTGAAGATGAGTGAGCCATTCAACTAGCCTCCAGAAGGTGGTATAACTTAAGCATAATTACAGTGCAAGGCCCCAGTCATATTATTCCATCAGTTGTGAATGGTCATTACACTCAAGTCTACTGGGTCAATGGCACTCCACATAGATGCAGAGGGCATAACACTTGTGAAATTTATGTTGCCTCTCCCTTTAATGGCCAGTATAGATAGATGAGCAACAGACTAATATTGCCGGGAGTTGTAGGAGTCTGTCCTCAGCTCAAGCTCTTGTGGAAGGTCCTGAGTTCTGTCTTAAACGCTAATTACCCTGGCTACTTGGACTGCAAGATCAGGGCCTAATTTTATGATGGTAAGGCCTCTGACAGATGTTAATTTAATCACGCACTGGGATCGGAGGATTTTTTTCCTGGATCTTAACAATCATGTGTCTTGCCAGGCCAAACATTCAAGGTTTGCTATGGCAGGACACACAATTGTTTGGATTTGAGATAAAATTCTTCAGATCCCATCTCACATTTGTTGAAGTATGCAGCTGTCAGCATGTTTGTTGCAATGTAGGCAGTTGTGGATTAGGGAGTTCCTCAGTCCCTAAGTGCCTGTGCCCTGCACCCTGAAATTGTTTGTATGAAGCTGGCAAATGAGCTTCCTGTACCTGTGGACATTACAGCTACACCTTACAGCCTAAAACCAGGCTACATGCCACATGTTCAAATTAAAGTGAGATAAAACTAGCCACACAGATGTTCCACCTTTAATATGGAACTTCTTTATGGCTAATACGCTATTTTACTGTATAATAAGTTGGCTGAACGTGTGGCATGTAATGATTTATTGCACTATTAACACACAGATTTCTCAATAATATAATGCATGTTGGGGGTCTAAAGGAAAATAAGTAATTTGAATTATTTAATTAATCCTTTAGATGTATGAATTATAATTACAGTGGTATCAGGGAACAAAACCAACATTGTAATGAATTATACAATATTTTAATCTACTGTTTAATTTCTACCACTGGACTGTAAAATGTGAACATTGTTTTTGTTTGTGACCATTTCCAAGGGTCAACAACATTTATGGGCTACCCTCAACAGATATAATTCCTGGTGACACCCACACACATGCATTGGGGTGATAAGTTACACCAAGTTTTAGTCCATCATCATTTATGTTTCATATTCTATTATTTTCAGATTAGCTAGAATTGTTGTTGGTGACAAGGCTGCAGCACAACTGTCCCTCTGTCTGCCTGGCATGTGCCACTTGAAGATTCTCCAGTAGGTGCATGCTTTGTTTGGTTTTTTGTATGATTGCTGCCCTTCCCAACTCAAAAAACAATTAGAGTTGTTTTGTTCCCTGTTTATTCTCCTGTTTTATAAGTTATACTGTTAAAAGGCAACCACAGTATCAATATGAAACAGCCACCCCCACAAACAATATCCCAGCCTAGCTTTGTTTGTTAAATGCTTGCCCAAATTGGAAGGTCTTACAGTGCTTCTAAAACAGGGGTGGGCAAAATGTGGCCTGGGGGCCAGATGCGGCCTGCCAGGCCATTCTATCTGGCCCACAGGGCCCCTAAAAAATTTAGAAAATTAATATTTATCTGCCCTGAGCTGCCTGTCATGTGGCCCTCGATGGCTTGCCAAAACTCAGTAAGCGGCTCGCTGCTCAAAATAATTGCCCGCCCCGTTCTAAAAAATATAGATGTCCAGGCTCAGGCTTGGGAGAGAGTTCCAGAGTTGAGGCAAGACATCCTGCGAATACTGGAAATGAGATAAAATGACTGAATATTGAAGCAGGTGAAAATGAATTGGTGTATTGATCTGGTTAATAAATCCAGAATTCATTACATGGACAAAGAATTAACAAGAGTCAGTTTAATCTTGGCACAAGCTACCTTGGCACACACCTAACCTTTGGGCCTTGGCACAAGCTACTTTAAAAAACATCTTAAAGGCATTAAAATGAGAGCAGTCATTAGTTAAGGGGTGTTAAACCACCATAATTACCCTCTAAAAGATAAGCCACTCAAAAAGGTTTGTCTTGGAAACTTTTACTTGTGCTGTTTCAGGGTATTGTTTGAATGGTGCTTTACTTTTATTCCTCCAGCATCCCAGGGTGCACAGCTCCTGGCCACTCTAGCCCTTCCTACCCTCCAGAACTCTAGGGGAAACTGCTCTCATCTTAATTGCAGAGACACCATGGAGACGGGGAAGACTGTTTCCCCCATCCACCTCGCCTGGCTGTGGGAAGCTCAATTTCAACCAGACCACAGAGCCCTGGGGAGGCTGCTTTTCAGGGGCTCTGTGCTCTGGCCAAGCCCCTGTCCCTCTGCTTTAAGCATGGAGTGGCCTCCTCAGTACAGAGCCCTAGAGAAGTAGCCTCCCTGAAGCTCTGTGCTCAGGCTGAAGTTGATGCAACTGCTTACAGAATGGCTTAACAGCTGTGGGACCCTTGAGCCAGGAAAGCAAGCCCTAGCCTTCCAGTCAGCACAACTCCTGCTGCCCCCAACCCCACTCCCTGCTCCGGCCCAATCCCAGTTCACTGAAATGCACGCAAGAGATTTTTGTCCTTTAACTTTTCTTAAGTCTGTTTTTCACTTCTTTCTCTTTATTCTCTCCCACCCCGATCCAGCCTCACTTTAAACAGTTTTTCAAGATTTCTCCCCTCATACCCTCCACTCTGGCTGCTGTGCTCCTGCTGGGTATGGGTATGGAGGGAAGGAAGACCCCATGCTGGTTTCTCTGTCTCCTAGCTACATGCAACACTCCCCCTCCTCTCCCATCAGGGGAGGAATAGTCCTGATTCCTGTCCATTCCCCTGCTTGCCAGTCCTCTAGTGGGAAGTCACAGTTATGCAGGTCTGAAATGACATGAAGCCTTCACTTGAGACTGCTTTAAAAATGCCATAAAATTTCACAGATACCTGAAATTATAAAGGTAACCTGTGCTAAAGCCCCCCCCCCCCCCCCCCCCCC